TCCTCGACATCGAGCACGAGGACGCTCGCTAATTTGTTAGGCCTGCCGACCCTGATGGACTGGCCAATAGCCTTCCTTATCTCTTCGGCCACTCCATCGGCCTGATCGCAGGTGCCCTTCAGTTGAAGCAGCACCGCTCCGCTCTGGGTCCTTCCTGTGCCTTTTATGGACACCCCGAATGACTGGAGGTTTACAGATGCCATGATCTTGCCCATGACGTCCGAGCATCTCATGTCGCTGGGGATTGGGCCAATGACTATGGCCTCCGTCCTTGGTGCCCTCCTATTTAGGTCTTCTGCTGAAGGCCCTTTCCTAGGGGGGGGGGCCGCTCACACCTGCCTTTTTGCCCTTGCTGACAACTTCTATCCACTTCGGCTTGGCTTGTGCGCTTTGGGCAGGGGACATACTCGTCTTGGTGGACTGCTCGGCCTGGGTTCGCTCCGACTCACTCACCCCGTTGCTTTCTCCTAGCGGAGGGAAGTCCTGTCTGACCTGGGTGTTGCCCTTTTTAGGTTTCATTTTGCATACATTTTTGGGGGATGAGGGGCCTCCTTTCGCCGTCTCTGCTTTCGGTGGGCTGGTGTTCGTCGCCCCGTCGACCCTCAGTGGCCTTTTCCTTTTACCGATCCCTTCGATCAGCCCGGTCAGATTCTTAGCCGCGACCTGTATTTCCCGACTAATACCCCTTCCGTTTCTTGCTCTGACCGCGGCTTCGATAGCTTCGACGTTCTCTTTGAGCGTTCGCATGTCGTGGTCGCTTTCTGCCAGGCACGCATTTGTCGGCTGCTGTTGTGGGTTCTCTCTGATTGCCAGGAGACAATCTAAGCCGCGCACAAATAATATCAATTTGTCAGCCGCCTCCTTCACAGTTTCAGGTAACTCAACGTTTGCCATTGCCATATGAAGGGCTTCAGCTTGGGCTGCTGCTCTTTCCATTCCGGCCGTCAAGATTCCCTCTACTTGCTCGGGGTTTTCCTTTGGCGACCCATCCTCGTTAAGGAGATCCTCCTCCTCAAAGGAAGTCTCCGGCTTGGCTCTCTTTGTAGTCCTACGCCCAAAGGTCTTTTTGGGTCGTTCTCCGTTTCCTGTTGCTGCAGTAGTGTCGATGGACATTGAGGTTTGTCCACCCGTGTACGCCTGCTCTTCACGCACACAACCAGTAGTTTCGATGGCATTAATGCCACCGCCTGGGGCCTGACTCGACGCCCCTACCGGTAAGTCACGATCGCTTGACGACGGTGCCGGAGAGCTCGCGATATGACTCTCCACCACCGGCGACTGGGTGTCCGAAGCCCCTGTCGCAGTAACGGTGTATTCCCCCTCCCTAACCGTTGAAAAATCCTAAATACGCTACTGCTGAGAACATGATATTGCATGACAAATCAAGCTTAATAAAATAATGTAAATTTGATACCTAATATCATTTGGACAATACTATTAACAGTTTTTTGGAAGAGAGTATAGATTGAATATTAAACAAAATATTTAGAGAATATAGAACTTTAAGAGAGAATTCTGTGAAGTAGAAGAACATTAAAGAATATATGGTCAATATAAAAAATTGGTTATGATTTATTATTAATTTAATCTTATATATGAATTTAAGGATTTTACAGTAACACTGTTTTAGTTGTATGCTAATATAAAAATAGATACCTACACTATTAGTGTCACACGTTAAGATTGAGTTGTGAATTTTCGTTTTTTTTTAACTATCGTAATTATGTTTTCGTAAAAAATCGTCAGATACTATTAATAAACTATGTTATATTGTTTCGTTAAAAGTAATTTTATAGCTAACTTTTATTTAATTAACAATACCTATATATACATACTGTATTTTATATCGTACATGTTGCTGTATAAAATATTTACAGCATCGCATTTTGTAATACTCTAACTATTTAAAAATGTATTTTATCGAAGGAAATGAGAAAACTACATACTATTCGATTGAATGTGTTTATTAATTTGTTTTTTGTTATGAGCTCTAATATTTTGTTCACAATAAAATCCTATAATATTTGAATAAACTGTGTGTTTACCGCCATACGAAGTGTGTACGGCTTATCAGTTACCGCGTTATCATTTATAACCGAGTTCGACCTAACCATGCTAGATAACAATCGCCGTCCCTATCCCAGTCGTTTATCACTATTTTCTTTCATTTTGCATTTCGGATACTTTGCTGCTCGTGCCTCGTAGTTAATAATTTTGTATAATTAAAAAACTAGGTATTACAAATTTGTACTCAATATTTTTCCTTCAACTCAATCGTACGTATCGATTGGTTGCGAGTGCAGACGCCGGCTAGTATTTCGTATTGTACGTTTTTTGAGTCCCGATAGACCGGTGACTTTGGTGTTGACACGATTCGTTTACTTAATAAAAACAAAAAAACCACTGGTCTTTGTCGAAAAGAAAGCTTTTATGCTATTACATCTTTTTCGTTAAACCGATGCGTTTGTGGTGTAAATACGGTATACTATTCGTACGAATATAATAAAAAACCTTATATTATGACTTGTACATTTTTAACATACCGGACATGAAATGGTGTACTCGTATAGTCTTGTCCGTGTTAAAGGTAATAAGAAATATGACATCACCAAATGTCACGTATTATATGTATACAAATACGATATACGTTTTTTGGTCAAATACGATGTGTATAATAAACCTTAATTGTAAAAAAAACGAGCATTCATAAAGGTTGTCGGTAGCCAAGATTTAAAAACTATTGTCGGCTTTGTAATTTAGTAAACCGTATATTTCACCATTCGCTGTTGTAAACGATAATTATACCGGATTACACATATTTGATTTAACTTTTCTTGTGTTAATCAGTTGTGATATGCTGAACAGTTAATTGAAATTTAGTTTACCCATTGTCTTTACTACAGACTTGAATAAACAACGTATGAAATGTTACACTTTTTTCTTGATTCGTATGTACTAATGCAACCAAGACGGTTGCAATGTTAACACGCTTTGACACACTGCTTATCGTTAGCTAAATATATATGCCTTTGGTGTCACGCTTAGGATCTTTTTGGAATAGCTTGAAGGTATGTCCAAAATTTTGGTACCCTATGACAGTTATGTTTGTCGTTAAAAAAAGTAATTGTTTTAATATAAAATATAATGGCAAACCTCTTCGACACATTGCATATTGCTAAAATATTATAATATAGGTATTGACTATTATTATACTAAAAATGTACATTTTTACTCACTGTTTGTTATTAAACAAACAAGCTTAAGTTAACAATGAACCAGGACCAATTTTATTGTAACCTATAGCATAGGGTTACAAGATTTGTGTGTTCAAGAAGATCGACTAAGTAATTGTAATTAATGGATGGAGTAACTAGCTCAGAATGATGTTAGGAGTTAACAATTAAAAAATTATTCCTTGATTAAGCAATGTCAAAGTTCAGCTTTTAGAAGTTTTTAACATTTAATTTAAAAATTGGTTCCAGACTGTTAGGACAGTATTTTTAGCCTAAACAGTATTTGGACTGCTATTCTGCAACTAATCGGTAAAATAACATTATATTTAGAATTATATAAAATTAAAACACAATTGATTTTTAGAATGAGTTTAATTTGTGCATGAAGTCTGTAAGTGAATATAATTTCTAAAAAACTGGAAGTCATAATGTGTACACAGTCTCTACTCTTCATTGAGTTCACAATTTAGGGTTCCTTAATGATATATGTATACTTATATTATCGGTGTTTTAACTTGCAAAAATAGGGTTCAAGGTAACTAGTATCAATTGTAGATACAACACATTCAGTAACATTTATTATTATTCATACTTAATTACTCATTATTTTTTAAAAACTGTTGCAAGCTGCCAATATGTATGACATAAACTATGCAAGGTTCCAGTTAATGAGTATTTTAGTTTTCACGGTTATTACAGACTATAATTATTACTGAATTCTACAAATAAACCACTTGTAATTTATTGTGGGGATGTAGGCACAACGGTGACAGGCCGGTGTCCAGTGGACAAACAGTTTTTTAATAAGTTAAATCATTGCAATTTTATATCTTTAATTTTAGCTATTATCAATTAAAGAATGCTAGAAAACTAGTACAAGAAAAAAAAATCAAAAAGTAATTTTTAAAAAAAATGGTTAAAAAAATAATTTTGGTTTGACCTATTGTATTTTTTGCATTTTTTAAATAATTTTTTTTACTTTTTTTTTTTTAAATATTTACAATCTGTATTTATATATACCATAAGTAAAATTTAGGGCTAATTTATTTACAAAGCTGTAAGTGATATGTATGACTTGAGGTACCTTCTCAAACAACTAAAGTTGGATGCAATTTGAGTCCAGACATAATTAGTATTACTCAAATTTTTCGGCGTTCTGAAAAAAAAAATTGTAAGTATGCCACTTCATCTTTTAACAATTTTTTTTTTTCGTAAATACTAAATTGATGTTTACAATTTGATTGTATGCAAAACATTGTATTGTACATTGATCTACTTGTAAAGCTAACATTGATTGAGTAAATTTCAATATCGTTTGTGAATATTATTTTAGAAACCGAATACCGAATACTTTTATTTAAAATACAGAACCTGTTTGAAATATTTAATGACGATTGTTTCGAAAACATGTTCTGGTTATCCTTACCTGATTAATTTAAAAACAATAACACCTACTTAATGTTATCTATTCTTTGATAAACATGTAAAAGAAGTAAATATTTGGTTTAAATCACCTGGATCGTCTTTACAAACAATTTGTCTCAATTGTTATAGTATCCTTGTGAATGTTGCAATCTTTAAAAATATTTAATGTGAATCTGTTTTATAATTTTCTATTTTAATTAGATTAGTTAATTAAATACAAGTATAAGACATATTATTTTTACTCAATATATATTTTTGACATAACACACCGAATGAGTATAATAACTTTATATTTATAATTCGATAAAATTAAAATAAAATCGATTTTTAGAATGAGTGCAAAATACTCGTGCATATAGTTTAATAGTGAATATAATTTCTAAAAAAAATTTAGGTGATATGTGCGACTTCAGGTACCCTCTCAAACAACTAAATTTGGGTGCAATTCGAGTACAGGCATAATTAGCATTACTCAATTTTTTCGGCGTTCTGAAAAAAAAACAAAAATTGTTCAGTGAATAGTCGAAAGATGAAGTGTCATCACGAAGCTATATTATTAATCAGCTGTATAAAATAAAGGTGCATAAACGGTATTTTTAAACCCCCTTTTCTTCTTCTATTTTGATTTTTAAATTGTTTACACTTTTAAATAATTACTAAAATTCGTTAATTTTTTTTTTAAATTCACAAATCATTTTGAAGTAGTTAACCGCCTGAAGAACACTTAAGGCTAGGGAAATAATTGTAAAACGTCAAATAAAATGGACAGTTACAGCTAAAACGAAAAGAAAACCTAAAACCTTTACTTACATCTATTATCGCTTTTTCTGTATTTATCCGCTACGGCCGACTAGTGCTCACATAAATAAACTGTTTCACGCTGAAGGTTTGAGGGTTCCGTCTTGCTGTAGTCGTCCAATAAGTTTGGCTGAAAAAAGGTGATTGTAAAAAACATATATGAGTTTATATAATGTATAGAATCTGATAGTTTTCTGATGTTTGACAGAACGAGACTCGAGCGTAAAAAAAGTCTACCTTTTTAACGGCTTTGACGAGGAATTTGCACCTGAGGCCATTACCGGTGACTAAAGTGTTCGTCCGGTTCGTTTTTGTATAGGACCAAGCCGTGTCATTTAAAAAATGTAACTTGTTACCGCGATGTTTGTATTTTTTTCCATAGTCGCTTGTTGTTGTCTCAAATGAGTTAGATTCACTTGCAGGTTCGGTGCTGTAAACCGACAATTATTTAATCAAGATTAATGATTACCATCGGTGCACGAATATTGCAATCGAACCTGAGCATTATATTAACAAATACAATGTTCAAGTAATAATTTCAAACAACTTGTTATTTAAATAAAAATTGCCCAGGTTCAGTCCTAGGGGATTAGGCTGAATAACAGGTATGGAAATGAAAATTAAAATAAAAAATTGTCTTAAATAATAGTCGTCTATTTTCAATATAAATTGAAATAATAAAATAGCCAGCATTGTAGAATCGAAGTCACGGATTTTGCGCAATTATCTTTACGGGAAGTTAAATTTTTCTTGATCAACAAATAATTATCACCAAAACAGGAAGATATTATTTGAACTTGGTAATTATTTAATATTCCTTAAGTAACTTAATGCGTTACTATTTCACTCATTAGTGAAATACTACTAACGATATGTAAAGTTTATCTATAACATACTCACACTTCGTATGCATATCTACGAAACAGATACATCGGTGGTACAGGCCAGACGATCCAACCAAAATCACCCTGATGTACCCAACGACCATGTGACGAATTTCTGGTCGATAACCGTGGTCTGTTAAGGCACAGGAACAACTTTCCTTCCACGACATTTTCATCGATCTTCAACTTGTTGGTTAAATACATTCGTGTACCATTTGCTTGCAACTAAAAATCATTAAGGGTATTACAATTAATATTCATATATATATATATATATATATATATATTATTTATTTATAAAGGATAGGGCGAAGGCAACTGACGAGATATGAGGGCCTAATATCTTATACAAATGTTATATTTTCTTTTGTTACAATAAGACGTCAACTATAATGATTCATATTCAATAGAATATGAATTATAAAAAATGTTTTAACCTTTAGCGACTTTTTAGAATTAATTTTTGATTTTTTTTTTCAAAATAATTAAAAAAAACGTAACGCACAAGCATAGCATTTTTACGTTTAACAGTACGACCAAGTGTTTAAAGCTTATACCAACGTATTTTATCAATACAATTGTCATCTAAACTAGACCTAACGAAACTACTGACTAAAAACAATTTTGACACATTTTTATATCTTATACTATATGAACGAACAGAATATATCAGTATTAAACTAACTGGAATTGTTTTGTTAAAAGTAATGCTCCACGGGTACGATGGTATTTAAAAAATGTACAAGCCGATATTATTCATATTCGAAGTATTAAAAACATAAATGTCGGACTTACTATTTCAAACGAGTTTCTCTCGGAGTCGGCATACTTATATTGTTGATCTGTGAAGCATAATGATCCACGCCCCTTAAAAGCTGAAGTCGTACGCACCATTACATCTTTCGTGAGACCTACGCCTTCTACTAACAATGTAATTTCGACGTATTGGTTTTTATCGACGATGGTAAAGTTGACAACGTTTGCTGATAGCACGGCATAAACATAGTCGTCGTGAGTATATTCGTGTTGAAGCCGAGATCCACCCGTGGCGGTACCAATGTCCAACCAAAGCGATAGCACTGCAACCGATATGACAATATAGATTTTGAACATGATGAATTGTTTTTTTGGTAGGAAATTCACTAAAAATGGGCAAAAGAAATTCGCGACCGAACGAGTAAAGTCTTTGTGATCGAATGACGATTGCCAGAGCTGGTGTGTGACACAAACCTCAGCCGACCCCTCTAGTAATAACTGTTTGGCAGGTAAAGTCGTCCTGACACTTATTGCCGTTTATTAATCCATCCTGCGAGAAACGCTAGTATTCATCGACCCTCCAATTTATCAACGGGTTCCGTTGATAAATATAATAACACAATTGATTTTTAGAATGAGTAGAATACTTGTGCATGTAGTCTAATAGTGAATATAATTTCTAAAAAACTGTAAGTGATATGTGTGTCTTGAGGGTACCCTCTCAAACAACTAAATTTGGATGCAATTCGAGTACAGGCATAATTAGCATTATTAAAAATTTTCGGCGTTTTGAAAAAAAAAAAATTGTTCAGTGAATAGTCGAAAGATGAAGTGTCATCAAGAAGCTATATTATTAATCAGCTGTGTAAAATAAAGGTGCATAAACGGTATTTTTAAACCCCCTTTTCTTCTTCTATTTTGATTTTTAAATTGTTTACACTTTTAAATAATTACTAAAATTCGTTAATTTTTTTTTTAAATTCACAAATCATTTTGAAGTAGTTAACCGCCTGAAGAACACTTAAGGCTAGGGAAATAATTGTAAAACGTCAAATAAAATGGACAGTTACAGCTAAAACGAAAAGAAAACCTAAAACCTTTACTTACATCTATTATCGCTTTTTCTGTATTTATCCGCTACGGCCGACTAGTGCTCACATAAATAAACTGTTTCACGCTGAAGGTTTGAGGGTTCCGTCTTGCTGTAGTCGTCCAATAAGTTTGGCTGAAAAAAGGTGATTGTAAAAAACATATATGAGTTTATATAATGTATAGAATCTGATAGTTTTCTGATGTTTGACAGAACGAGACTCGAGCGTAAAAAAAGTCTACCTTTTTAACGGCTTTGACGAGGAATTTGCACCTGAGGACATTACCGGTGACTAAAGTGTTCGTCCGGTTCGTTTTTGTATAGGACCAAGCCGTGTCATTTAAAAAATGTAACTTGTTACCGCGATGTTTGTATTTTTTTCCATAGTCGCTTGTTGTTGTCTCAAATGAGTTAGATTCACTTGCAGGTTCGGTGCTGTAAACCGACAATTATTTAATCAAGATTAATGATTACCATCGGTGCACGAATATTGCAATCGAACCTGAGCATTATATTAACAAATACAATGTTCAAGTAATAATTTCAAACAACTTGTTATTTAAATAAAAATTGCCCAGGTTCAGTCCTAGGGGATTAGGCTGAATAACAGGTATGGAAATGAAAATTAAAATAAAAAATTGTCTTAAATAATAGTCGTCTATTTTCAATATAAATTGAAATAATAAAATAGCCAGCATTGTAGAATCGAAGTCACGGATTTTGCGCAATTATCTTTACGGGAAGTTAAATTTTTCTTGATCAACAAATAATTATCACCAAAACAGGAAGATATTATTTGAACTTGGTAATTATTTAATATTCCTTAAGTAACTTAATGCGTTACTATTTCACTCATTAGTGAAATACTACTAACGATATGTAAAGTTTATCTATAACATACTCACACTTCGTATGCATATCTACGAAACAGATACATCGGTGGTACAGGCCAGACGATCCAACCAAAATCACCCTGATGTACCCAACGACCATGTGACGAATTTCTGGTCGATAACCGTGGTCTGTTAAGGCACAGGAACAACTTTCCTTCCACGACATTTTCATCGATCTTCAACTTGTTGGTTAAATACATTCGTGTACCATTTGCTTGCAACTAAAAATCATTAAGGGTATTACAATTAATATTCATATATATATATATATATTTTTATATATTTATTTATTTATAAAGGATAGGGCGAAGGCAACTGACGAGATATGAGGGCCTAATATCTTATACAAATGTTATATTTTCTTTTGTTACAATAAGACGTCAACTATAATGATTCATATTCAATAGAATATGAATTATAAAAAATGTTTTTAACCTTTAGCGACTTTTTAGAATTAATTTTTGATTTTTTTTTTCAAAATAATTAAAAAAACGTAACGCACAAGCATAGCATTTTTACGTTTAACAGTACGACCAAGTGTTTAAAGCTTATACCAACGTATTTTATCAATACAATTGTCACCTAAACTAGACCTAACGAAACTACTGACTAAAAACAATTTTGACACATTTTTATATCTTATACTATATGAACGAACAGAATATATCAGTATTAAACTAACTGGAATTGTTTTGTTAAAAGTAATGCTCCACGGGTACGATGGTATTTAAAAAATGTACAAGCCGATATTATTCATATTCGAAGTATTAAAAACATAAATGTCGGACTTACTATTTCAAACGAGTTTCTCTCGGAGTCGGCATACTTATATTGTTGATCTGTGAAGCATAATGATCCACGCCCCTTAAAAGCTGAAGTCGTACGCACCATTACATCTTTCGTGAGACCTACGCCTTCTACTAACAATGTAATTTCGACGTATTGGTTTTTATCGACGATGGTAAAGTTGACAACGTTTGCTGATAGCACGGCATAAACATAGTCGTCGTGAGTATATTCGTGTTGAAGCCGAGATCCACCCGTGGCGGTACCAATGTCCAACCAAAGCGATAGCACTGCAACCGATATGACAATATAGATTTTGAACATGATGAATTGTTTTTTTGGTAGGAAATTCACTAAAAATGGGCAAAAGAAATTCGCGACCGAACGAGTAAAGTCTTTGTGATCGAATGACGATTGCCAGAGCTGGTGTGTGACACAAACCTCAGCCGACCCCTCTAGTAATAACTGTTTGGCAGGTAAAGTCGTCCTGACACTTATTGCCGTTTATTAATCCATCCTGCGAGAAACGCTAGTATTCATCGACCCTCCAATTTATCAACGGGTTCCGTTGATAAATATAATAACACAATTGATTTTTAGAATGAGTAGAATACTTGTGCATGTAGTCTAATAGTGAATATAATTTCTAAAAAACTGTAAGTGATATGTGTGTCTTGAGGGTACCCTCTCAAACAACTAAATTTGGATGCAATTCGAGTACAGGCATAATTAGCATTATTAAAAATTTTCGGCGTTTTGAAAAAAAAAAAATTGTTCAGTGAATAGTCGAAAGATGAAGTGTCATCAAGAAGCTATATTATTAATCAGCTGTGTAAAATAAAGGTGCATAAACGGTATTTTTAAACCCCCTTTTCTTCTTCTATTTTGATTTTTAAATTGTTTACACTTTTAAATAATTACTAAAATTCGTTAATTTTTTTTTTTAATTCACAAATGATTTTGAAGTAGTTAACCGCCTGAAGAACACTTAAGGCTAGGGAAATAATTGTAAAACGTCAAATAAAATGGACAGTTACAGCTAAAACGAAAAGAAAACCTAAAACCTTTACTTACATCTATTATCGCTTTTTCTGTATTTATCCGCTACGGCCGACTAGTGCTCACATAAATAAACTGTTTCACGCTGAAGGTTTGAGGGTTCCGTCTTGCTGTAGTCGTCCAATAAGTTTGGCTGAAAAAAGGTGATTGTAAAAAACATATATGAGTTTATATAATGTATAGAATCTGATAGTTTTCTGATGTTTGACAGAACGAGACTCGAGCGTAAAAAAAGTCTACCTTTTTAACGGCTTTGACGAGGAATTTGCACCTGAGGACATTACCGGTGACTAAAGTGTTCGTCCGGTTCGTTTTTGTATAGGACCAAGCCGTGTCATTTAAAAAATGTAACTTGTTACCGCGATGTTTGTATTTTTTTCCATAGTCGCTTGTTGTTGTCTCAAATGAGTTAGATTCACTTGCAGGTTCGGTGCTGTAAACCGACAATTATTTAATCAAGATTAATGATTACCATCGGTGCACGAATATTGCAATCGAACCTGAGCATTATATTAACAAATACAATGTTCAAGTAATAATTTCAAACAACTTGTTATTTAAATAAAAATTGCCCAGGTTCAGTCCTAGGGGATTAGGCTGAATAACAGGTATGGAAATGAAAATTAAAATAAAAAATTGTCTTAAATAATAGTCGTCTATTTTCAATATAAATTGAAATAATAAAATAGCCAGCATTGTAGAATCGAAGTCACGGATTTTGCGCAATTATCTTTACGGGAAGTTAAATTTTTCTTGATCAACAAATAATTATCACCAAAACAGGAAGATATTATTTGAACTTGGTAATTATTTAATATTCCTTAAGTAACTTAATGCGTTACTATTTCACTCATTAGTGAAATACTACTAACGATATGTAAAGTTTATCTATAACATACTCACACTTCGTATGCATATCTACGAAACAGATACATCGGTGGTACAGGCCAGACGATCCAACCAAAATCACCCTGATGTACCCAACGACCATGTGACGAATTTCTGGTCGATAACCGTGGTCTGTTAAGGCACAGGAACAACTTTCCTTCCACGACATTTTCATCGATCTTCAACTTGTTGGTTAAATACATTCGTGTACCATTTGCTTGCAACTAAAAATCATTAAGGGTATTACAATTAATATTCATATATATATATATATTTTTTATATATTTATTTATTTATAAAGGATAGGGCGAAGGCAACTGACGAGATATGAGGGCCTAATATCTTATACAAATGTTATATTTTCTTTTGTTACAATAAGACGTCAACTATAATGATTCATATTCAATAGAATATGAATTATAAAAAATGTTTTTAACCTTTAGCGACTTTTTAGAATTAATTTTTGATTTTTTTTTTCAAAATAATTAAAAAAACGTAACGCACAAGCATAGCATTTTTACGTTTAACAGTACGACCAAGTGTTTAAAGCTTATACCAACGTATTTTATCAATACAATTGTCACCTAAACTAGACCTAACGAAACTACTGACTAAAAACAATTTTGACACATTTTTATATCTTATACTATATGAACGAACAGAATATATCAGTATTAAACTAACTGGAATTGTTTTGTTAAAAGTAATGCTCCACGGGTACGATGGTATTTAAAAAATGTACAAGCCGATATTATTCATATTCGAAGTATTAAAAACATAAATGTCGGACTTACTATTTCAAACGAGTTTCTCTCGGAGTCGGCATACTTATATTGTTGATCTGTGAAGCATAATGATCCACGCCCCTTAAAAGCTGAAGTCGTACGCACCATTACATCTTTCGTGAGACCTACGCCTTCTACTAACAATGTAATTTCGACGTATTGGTTTTTATCGACGATGGTAAAGTTGACAACGTTTGCTGATAGCACGGCATAAACATAGTCGTCGTGAGTATATTCGTGTTGAAGCCGAGATCCACCCGTGGCGGTACCAATGTCCAACCAAAGCGATAGCACTGCAACCGATATGACAATATAGATTTTGAACATGATGAATTGTTTTTTTGGTAGGAAATTCACTAAAAATGGGCAAAAGAAATTCGCGACCGAACGAGTAAAGTCTTTGTGATCGAATGACGATTGCCAGAGCTGGTGTGTGACACAAACCTCAGCCGACCCCTCTAGTAATAACTGTTTGGCAGGTAAAGTCGTCCTGACACTTATTGCCGTTTATTAATCCATCCTGCGAGAAACGCTAGTATTCATCGACCCTCCAATTTATCAACGGGTTCCGTTGATAAATATAATAACACAATTGATTTTTAGAATGAGTAGAATACTTGTGCATGTAGTCTAATAGTGAATATAATTTCTAAAAAACTGTAAGTGATATGTGTGTCTTGAGGGTACCCTCTCAAACAACTAAATTTGGATGCAATTCGAGTACAGGCATAATTAGCATTATTAAAAATTTTCGGCGTTTTGAAAAAAAAAAAATTGTTCAGTGAATAGTCGAAAGATGAAGTGTCATCAAGAAGCTATATTATTAATCAGCTGTGTAAAATAAAGGTGCATAAACGGTATTTTTAAACCCCCTTTTCTTCTTCTATTTTGATTTTTAAATTGTTTACACTTTTAAATAATTACTAAAATTCGTTAATTTTTTTTTTAAATTCACAAATCATTTTGAAGTAGTTAACCGCCTGAAGAACACTTAAGGCTAGGGAAATAATTGTAAAACGTCAAATAAAATGGACAGTTACAGCTAAAACGAAAAGAAAACCTAAAACCTTTACTTACATCTATTATCGCTTTTTCTGTATTTATCCGCTACGGCCGACTAGTGCTCACATAAATAAACTGTTTCACGCTGAAGGTTTGAGGGTTCCGTCTTGCTGTAGTCGTCCAATAAGTTTGGCTGAAAAAAGGTGATTGTAAAAAACATATATGAGTTTATATAATGTATAGAATCTGATAGTTTTCTGATGTTTGACAGAACGAGACTCGAGCGTAAAAAAAGTCTACCTTTTTAACGGCTTTGACGAGGAATTTGCACCTGAGGCCATTACCGGTGACTAAAGTGTTCGTCCGGTTCGTTTTTGTATAGGACCAAGCCGTGTCATTTAAAAAATGTAACTTGTTACCGCGATGTTTGTATTTTTTTCCATAGTCGCTTGTTGTTGTCTCAAATGAGTTAGATTCACTTGCAGGTTCGGTGCTGTAAACCGACAATTATTTAATCAAGATTAATGATTACCATCGGTGCACGAATATTGCAATCGAACCTGAGCATTATATTAACAAATACAATGTTCAAGTAATAATTTCAAACAACTTGTTATTTAAATAAAAATTGCCCAGGTTCAGTCCT